GGGGGGGAGAGGAGGGGAGAGGAGGGGAGGGACGAGCAAAAGAAAAGCCGCACAGGTGCTCAGTTTGTCGCAACGCACCCATAAATAGAATAAAGTATTCAAGCCCATCTACGACGGTGAATTGGTCCAGCAGCCAGACGGCAATCAACAAGAGAAGAAAACCTGCACAACATACAGACATTTAATCACCACCCTCCCATGAGAACAAGCATGCATGTTTGAGGGGGCGATGGGGAGGCAGAGGAGGAAGAAGGAAGCAAAGTTGCAAACCAGAAACACTTTTTGAGTCTCCCACCTTTGGCAGTTCTTAGTTCTCCTTTCCGTTCATGAAAATTTCCAAAAGACAATCAGCAATGCAGAGTAGCTTCTTTTTTTTTTTTGGAAAACGGATCCTGTGCACAAGGCTGAATTATGCACTCTGCTGGAAACCAGGCCCGGCGTCCCTTACAAGAAAAAGGGGACGGCCCATCAGAATGATCCAGGCACTCCAGACTGGTAGCTTCTGCTGTATCAGGGGGGAAAATTGCCGAAAAATATAAGAACATTGAAAAGAAACTTTTGCCAACAAAAAAGAATTTGCCACAAAGTGCCACAAACCAAATGCATATGTTGATCAGAGTCCCTATTCTTTTTGGCAAAACCAAAAAGAATAGGCCTCACCTTTCAGGATGGGCCAACATGGGTCGGTGAAAATTTTATGTTCAGCAGAATGGGGCCCATCAAACTGGCGGCTTGACGGCAAATTACTGAACCTAGGCAGCAATTGGCAACCATCAGAAATGGAGCCCATCGAACTGGTGATGTCTTTGTGACGCTTTGCCAATGCTTTTTTGTGATGGACGATTTTAATGCTTTTGCAGTGCTTGTGATGCTTTTTTGCTTTTGTGATGGACCAGCCCCTTAGGCTAACAATCCACCGTCAGACTATTGACACCTATCACGTAGTTTTTCCTTTTTTTCTTCCTCTGTCAGTTGAGGTTAACCATTAACCTATTTTTCAGCATTAGTGGTTAGGTTAACCATTAACCATTAACTGGCATGAACTGGCATCAATGGTGGTGCCTCCTGGCACTCAAACTGTGGGACAACCTTCTGTCTGTGTGTGTGTGTGTGTGTGTGTGTGTGTGTGTGTGTGTGTGTGTGTGTGTGTGTGTGTGTGTGTGTGTGTGTGTGTGTGTGTG